TGAGCATCTCCAATGAGGGAGACTCCACATCCTTTGAGGGCATCTGCTCCAATGTGCAGTCACCCCACAGCAGTTAGTTCTTGTGTTCAGGTGGAATTTCCTGTGCCTCAGTTCCTGCCCATTGCCTCATGTCCTATCGCTGGGCACCACTGAGCAGAGCCTGGTCCATCCCTGACCCCTCCCTGCAGGYTCTGACAGACATTGATGAGTTCCCCTCTCAGTAATGTCTTTTTGGGCTGAGCAAGCCCATTTCTCTCAGCCTTTCCTCATAAGAGATGCTCCAGTCCCTTGGTCCCCTCTGTCCCCCTCCCCTGGATCTGCTCCAGGAGCCCCTCATCCCTCTGGCACTGAGGAGCCCCAAACTGGACACAGCAGCCCAGATGTGCCTCCCCAGGGCTGAGAAAGGGCAGCATCACCTCCCTTCCCCTGCTGCAAATGCTGCAAATGCTCTTCCTGCTGCTCCTCCCTGGCCACAGGGCCCTGCTGGCCCACATGGGGACACTCTGCTGTCCCCAGGATCCCCAGGGCCTCATCCCTCTGCTCCCCTCAGCTCACCTCCAGTCTGTCCCCATGCCAGGGGTTGTTCCTCCCCAGTGCAGGACTCTGCACTCGCCTCTGTAGAACTTGAGGCAGTTTTTCTCTGCCCAAGAAGAGGAATCATCTCTCCAACTCATCGAGGTCCCTCTGAAGGGCCACAGAGCCCTCTGGGCTATCGGCCACTCCCCAGGTTGGTGACATCAGTGAACTGCTGAGGAAGCCTCTGGCTTTTCCTCCAGGTYACTGAGGAGTGAGTTAAACACGACTGGGCCCAGTGTGGAACCCTGGGGGACACAACTAATGACAGGCTCCAAATAGCCCCTGTGCCACTGGCTGGTGACCCTTTGGGCTCTGCCCCTCAGCCAGATCCCAATCCGTGTCACTGCCCACTCCTCCAGCCCACAGCTCAGGATTTTGCCCACCAGGATGTGCTGAAAGCCTTGCTGCTGGGTGTGACTGTATGCTGGCTGCTGGTGGGGATGGAAGAGCAGCCGGATGCATCCAGCTGGAATGACCTCAGCTATTCAGAGAAGGGCACGAGAAAGTCTCTTTCCTCATGGCTGAGCGCACAGCACTTCAGCAGCAGGCTGCCTCCAGCACTSCCTCCAAAAACTCTGCTCTGAAACACAGCTGAGCAGCAAACCCCTGGGACTGTGGAGGAGAGCTAAGCACACTAAATGAAAATGGCAGGCAGAAAATAYCTTTCTGCACCACAGCTACAATGCCTACAGATTCTGCTTTAATAAAACCTGCCCTTTTTCTTATTCTGCAGGCAGCACACTGTTTTCTGCTCGTGGGAGATGTCTGTGTCCTCCAAGATCTTGGTGGGAGATCACTGAACAGGCTCCATTTCCTGGCTGCCAATGGCTCCTTTTCTCAGCTTGTGGGTTTTTTTTTTTTTTCACCTGCACACAAGTTTTCAGCTTGTTGAATTTATAGGATCCTATTCTGTTTGGAAGGATATAAAAAATAACTGAAAAATGAAATCATAGAATCACGCCATGGTTTCCATTGGAAGGGACTTTAAAGACTGTCTTATCCCAAATCCCTGCCTTGTTCTGGGGACAATTTCCACCAGGTTGCTCAGGGCTCCATCCAGCCTGAGAGCACCCACTGCCAGGGATGGGCACCCACAGCTTCTCTGGGCAGCCTGTGCCAGAGTGTCACCACCCTCACAGTAAAGAATTTATTTCTAATATCTATGCTAAGCTCTTTTCTTTCGGTTTAAAGCCATTATCCTTTGTCCTATCACTGCTACCCTTGCAAAAAGTCTCTCTACAGCTCTCTTGTAGCCCCTTTAGGCACTGGAAGATGCTAGAAGATCTCCCAGAGGCTTCTTTTCTCAAGGCTGAAAACCCCAATTCTCTCAGGCTGTTTTCACAGGGTCACCTTACTGATCTCCTCTGGATTTGTTCCCAGGGCCACGTCATTTTTATGGTGGGAGTTCCAAAGCTGGAGGCAGCAMTCCAGGTGGGGTCACATCAGAATGAATACAGGAAATCACAGCTGAGGATGTTTGCAATCTTTCTCTAGGAAGGAACCCTGCAAATGTACTGCAATGAAGAAGTAATACCCTCGCTCTGGTTCTAGAGGGGAGCTGTGCCTCAGAGGTTTTCAGCTTACYTACTTCACTTTGCCTAAGTATCTGTGAAAAAATGGAATCTTCCTTTRAACTCCTCATAAGTACCAGGTGAAATGTGCAGTTTTGGTGATTGCTCCAACCACATTTATACACCACATTTTCAACCATTCTGTTATAAATGACCTGTAAATTAGCAGTGTAATTTGATCACATGTTAATTAAGTCAGTACTATTAATGACAATTTGATGTCATGAGCTAATAACCCTCATCTCAAGTATCTTATGACCTAGGATGACTAGACCAAAATTAACAAAACAGAAAATTGAAGATCACTATGTTTATTGTTTACCAGATATCCTTAAATTCAATTATTTAATTTTTAGATGTAGTTGGTTGTTAGGACATCATTTAGATGGAACATACAAACTGCTGTTCAAAATCTAGAAGCATTAACATTTAAAAAAGAAATAATTTTTTTTAAAAAGTGAAGGAAGAGAAAAGTGGAGACAGGAAGAAAAGCAGAAACAGGGTGGAGAAAGCCAATGATTATCAGAGATGTCAATACTAAATTCCATGCATTGTTTATTGTACATACTTCATAATTTGGGGGATAAATTCATAAAGAGGGTTTCTACAGATTCTCACTCATCCCCCAAAATGTTGCCCAGAACTGAAGCAGGTCATTGACTGGTGGCTCTCAGGAGTCTGTTTTCACAGGTACCATATGAAGACATTTTAAACTGAGGCTTAAAAAAGCCTGACAAGGTATTTTACTTGTTGTTTTGATGGATGATGTAATTTCTGATTTYGGATGATGTAATTTCTGATTTTGGCAATGCTGAGATACCACAAAAAAGGCGGTTTTCATAGCGATTCAGCCCTGAGCCAAAACAGAAAGTCATTTAATTTGACTAAGCATCCAAACTTCTGTGGGTTTTTCTGGTCTGAGCCTTTTGTGTTTTTAGACTTGACACTGTCACTGCCAATTTTGTTGGCCAGATATGCAGTTCTGTGAGCTTGAGAATTTCTGGGCTAGGAGACCCAGATGCCCTCACTGCTGGATAAACCGTGATTTCTGCCCAATGTGGCCTCTGCTGGGCAGCAGGAACACAAAGCTCAGGTTGTAATGATTACACTGACAGTCCTGAGTCCAGCTGGTCCCACACCCTGTGGCCCTGCAGGACATCCCAGGTCACATGGGAGACCCCACAGAGTGACCCCACAAGGAGCACACACCATGGGGTCACCATGAGCACCCCAGCAGCTACAGGGTAAACCACGATGCCCTGGGATAGCAGAGCCAGACCCCACTGTCCCCCCACAGGAGGTGAACCACACCAGTGGGATACAAAGCAAAGCGCCCTCGCATGGGTGTGGGGTTTTTTTGGGCAGCCTGYTCCAAGTGCCCCTCAGAGTGGGCTGCCAACTTTCTCTTCCTYTCTGCCGTGCTCAGTGGGACCCTGCAGCCCTTTTGGCATGGGACATCCCACCCTGAATCTGCTCCCTGGTGCACCTGCTGGGTCATTCAKTCCTTAGGGCACCCTGATATCCTGYTCATCTCCCCAGAGCATCTCCCAGTGGCTCTGTGCCAGCAGCACTGTGATCCCAAAAAAGACTGTACAAATCATACCTTGTCAGTTTATCACTGCATAGGCGTTTGACGGTTCAGGGTTCTGTGTGTCTGTGCTGCAAAACTGTCCCCATCCTCCTGCAGAGCTACAAAGGAAGTGGTCAGCAGCTGGTGCCAGTCCAGGTAGGCTTCTCCACCTCTCACCCCTTCCCCAAGGTTCTCTGTCACCTCCTCAGCACAGCATTACCTTCACCTCTCCAWCACCGTGCTCTGCCTTAACCACAGGTACAGCCTGGTCACAGCAGCCCCACCCTTGCCAGACCCCTGAAAACACCCAACAATTAAATTGCCCTATGTTAAAACCAAAAMAGTACACAGAACAAAGAAACACACAAAAAACATGAAGCAAAAACCTTAAAACACCCAACCAAAAAAAAAAAAAACAAAAAACCCAAAAACCAACTAAAACCAAAAAATTAAAAAAAAAACAACAAAACCCAAAAAAACCAACAACAAAACCAACCGACTTCCTGTGTCTTTGCAGGTTGAGAGCTCCTTCCAGAGTTGCAGCCYGTGTGCACTTTCTCCCTGCTGCACACCATTGCCCACCACAAGATGATGAAATAGGCAGGGAGGATGGCATCATGACCACAAAATATGATGCAACCCAAGATGCTGCCACATGAGGTCAGCTCCTACACCTGCACCTGTGGGACACCTCCCCCACACTTGGTCAGGATGACCCYCCTCTGTTTTCTCCCTCTGGGCATCCACACTCCTCTCCTGCACATGTGGAGCAGGAGGGGATGGTGGCAGCCCTGCTGAGAGGCACAGGGCACACAYACACAGCACCCAGACCCATGAGGGATGCATGGAACAGCTGACACTGGTGCCTTCTCATAGCACATGGGGTCCAGAGAATAGAAACTGGTTTTAAAGTGCAAAAAACACCAGTTGTTTAGTGCAACCTCCTTTTTCCTGTTTCCCCTATTTACTTCTCCTTTACACTCCTTGGAGACAGTCGGTGCATCTGCAGAGCAGTCTCTGGTGAGGAAGAACACGGTGTCCTTACCCTTGAAGGGAGACTTGTTATTTCTCACTTTTTTGTTTGCATTATTAATGCCAAAGGTCAKCCTCACAGCTTTCCCTCTCACACCAGTAACCAACACCCCTCAGCTGCACAACCACAGCCGGAAATGTGCTTGCTGTGAGAGGACACACCATCCCCAACACAGGGTCGTGGATGCATGGGAGAAGCTTGTCCCCACATTCAGAGCCAGCGTGGATATCAAAAATCAGCTCAGTGCTGGTTTTACATTCCCTGAAATGTACARTTTATTTTCCCTGGAAATAAATGAGGCAGGATCTCTGATGTGGGGGTCACTTAGCAAAGAGGGGGTGATGAGCTGCAGTTGGTGGTGCTGCATGGATCTGCTCCCCACAGCAGSGCTCTGCTGAAGCCAAGAACTGGGTGGATCCAATGGTTAGGTCAGGACAGTCACAGACATTCAGGGAGGACAGCATTGCTGTCACTGACAACCTTGTCCAACCACTTCCAGTGTCTCCTCCTCTTCTCTGGGGACTGCTCATGCTCACAGAAAAAGCACTGGGAGCCCAAAGGGAGTCCTTTTTGGCAGGAAGGGACAAGCTCCCTTCCATTTCTGTGCAAGGTCATGGCCACCAACACGTTTGCTCTTGCAGCCCTTCGTGCCTAAAGCTCCTGGGGCTTATCTGCAGAGCAGCTGTGGGGGACTTCCCATTTCCTGGGAGGCTTTTGTCTCCCGTTCAGAAAAGGCAGCAAAAGGCAGCCCCTTCTTCTTCTGTGTGTTTCTGAAAATGAAAAATAAAAAAGGAAATKAGCTCATTTCAGCGTTATCAGTCACAAAGTTTTAAAGTGAAACTACCTCACAACACGGGATGTTGTCAGCACTCTCAGACTAAATCTGTTTCAGACTAGTGATGAGTCAAATGGTCCCTCTGYCTTCACAGCTRGTTGCCATCCTGACAGCTTTCACCMAGGCACAATCTCATCCTGCGCCACTTCTCAGCCTGCACAGCCCACAAAGGCACCTCCTGTGCAGAGGTTTCACACCGCCACAATGTAGCTTGCACAGCCTGCAATGGAAACGCCMCAGCCTCCCCCAGCAATGTTCTCTTGTGGAATTTACCACAATGGATGGTAAATTTACCACAATTTACCACCCTACAACGGATGCACATCAGCGGCATGTGTGTGTGCAGATGTGCCGGTTTGGGGCAGGGGAACAACCTGCTGCCATAGTCCTGCCTGCTCCTGATGTCTGTGGTGATGCATTCACAATAAAATCTCATTCTTTTGTGCTTTTTTCTTCCTAAAGAGACATTTTGAAGTGTAACCTAAATCACATTCCCTTTTTTTCATTCTTTGCTATTGTAAAGACATGGCCCCAGTATCCCAAACAAAACACACCTAATGATTTATTCACATAAATCACTGGCAATTCAAATTGTAAAGGAGATCCTTTTGTTATTACATTGAACATACCATCTACCTTTTTCAAAAGTATCTATTCTAATCTTTAGAGGTGAATCAAATATTTAAACACTTTTTAAAGCCCTAAAAATTTGAAGGGAGGATGTTTCACAAAAGATACTATATTCCACTTTGGTTCAGTCCCTGCATTCTYTTATTAAATCTTTCYACCTTTKGCTCTAAGTTCAGAGAATYACAGAATCATAGAAAGTCTTGGGTTGGAAGTGAGCTTAAAGATCTTGTTCCAACCCTTGCCATGCACAGATCAGGTTGCTCAGAACCCCATTCARTTTKGTCTTGAACACTTCCAGGGGATGGGGCATCCACAGCTTCTCTGRGCCACCTGTGCCTGGGCCTCACCACCCTCACAGTAAAGAATTTCTTCCTAAAATCCAATGTAAACCCACCCTTTGCCAGTTTGAAGCCATTCCCCCTGGTCCTGTCACTACATGCCCTTGTAAAAAGTCCCTCTTGGTTGTTCTTTTCAGCTCCCTTCAGCTACTGGAGGCCACACGTAGGTCACCCCCAAGCCATCTCTGCTCCAGGCTGAGCAATCCCATCTCTCTCAGCCTTTCCACATAGGAGARGCTCCATTTAAAACCTTTTCCACTCTAAGTCTCTTTTGTGGGATTGAGGCACACTGAGAGATTCCTTATCCGAACAGAGATTGTTCAAACAAGGCACTTCCAAAACCCGTCTCAAAGAAATCATTGTTCACAGTAAYCTGAAAATCCCCCGCCCATGCAGAACAGCACCTGTGCCATCTGGAGAGCATTGGAAAGGTACAGGGGAGACACTGCAGTGTTGAGGCACTGGCTCTGTGCAATATTGGGAATGCCAGGTTCCCCTGCTGGTGTCCAGAAAAGCTTGCTTGGATTCTCTMACACTCCTGTTCGACTTCACTGATTCACAGCAATCACCAATAATGAGCCCTGTGGGGGATACCAGGTTGCTSCCTCAGCTGCAAGGCAGTGGCATGCCAGCTAAGCAGCAACTGTCTCACAAATGGGATTTCCCTGATTTTCTTTCAACCCTACGCCTCTGCATTGACTATACACAAAAATTACAACGAAGTGCGGGGGAGGTGCAGGAAACAAGGGAACCAGGAAAACAAGGGAGGCAGAACCCGAAAAAGATCTGGCAGAGCAGCAAGCAATRAAGAATTTCAGAAATGGAGCACATTCACATTCTCAGCAAAGATAGCAAGACAGAAAACAGCCGTAGTGACCGTGCAAGGGAAGACCTCTGCACAAACCCAGCAGCAAYGGTGCAGCTGTGCTAGCGCTATGCCTGGCGTTTGCACAGACACCTACACACGAGGAGGAGAGCTCTCCAGCAAATACCAGCCTCAAGGAACAGCCATCAACGCCAGTGTTTACTTTACTAAGTACTACTTCTGCACAGCAGTTGCAAAGATTGCCTCTTATAAGGGTCAACTTCAAGGTGCTAAAACCCACTTGAAAAACTACCTAGTGAATCTTTCCTTCTCTTGCAACCTTTTCAGAAAGCTAGAAAGCTTTGGTGACTGCCCAGGGGCTGAAATGGGAATGACCTTACAAGGAAGCTACAGGGGCTCTGTTTTCTGCTTTCACACAAAATTCAGCTCACCAGACAATGTGCCCCACCTAAATTAGAACAGGTCATAGCCCAAGACCAGGAAAATTATGTCAGCGCAGGTTCCTCACAATTACTCCTTGACTAAAGAGCGTGCAGTCAGTATAAACTCTGGTACACTCAAGGAGTGTCTCTGCTAATCAACCCTGTCCTCAACCAAAAGTTACTGCTCCAGCACAAAAACTGCCTGGCCCATTCTGGCTTGGACAGGCACCAGCCCAGACTCATGTGAGTCACCTTTCAGCAGCATTTTGCTGAATTAGTGCTGCCTGCTTCACACAGAGGTGGTCACAGAGGAATAGGAGTGCATGTTCATCCCTCTACCAGTGAGTGACAGAGCACTGTAATCTGTGACAACCATGCAGTTCAACTTCTGCTAATTATCAACACTCAGATACAACTTCTGCTAAGAAAATTACGTGCCTAAGTTTCAAGGGAAGGAGGCAACAGAGAACAGTATAGGAGGGAGAGCCTARGAATTAATTGTAGGGCATTAGATAACAGCTAAACAGCAGATGAGCTCTGTGCAAGTCGGGTTATATCCCAGCAGTGGACGGGCAGCTCTCCTTAGTTTCTTTTCCTGGGTGGTGTGGGATCATCTTGTCAAATCAAAGAAAAATTAGGTGGAGAATTTAATTTAACTACTGAAAGCTGCATTAACCTTTTCCCTCACCACAGTGGAGGTGTCAGCAGCGCAGCAGTAGCTGCTGGAGGCCARAGCTTTATTGCAGGTGCCACCAGAATATTGTTAACCCGGAAMAAGACCATTTCCTTGAAAAGTGAGGTTGAGATTAATGCTTAAGGCTGAAGGATTTAGGAAGCTTTACTTGTAACAGTGAGAGAGGTCCCTGGAGGGAAGTTGCTGGAAAAGAGAAAATCAAAGAATTAGAGTAATTTAAGAAGAATTTTTAAAAGCCCCAACCAAACCAAAAAACTCCCACCCCAAAAAACAGACCAAAAAAATCTTATCCACGGCTGTCCTCACCCTCTCTCGGCATCGCCCACAGCCGCACGCTGCTGCACTTTCCTGAAATGACCTTGGTTTGTGTTCCTGACAATAGAGCCGAATTTCCTGCTCGGGGCAGAGACACACAAGGATCAACAGGAACTGCCGACTCTGCAGTCTGCAGGAACAGGAAAAGGGAGGCAGAAAAACAAACAGCGTCTCAGTTAACACAAGAGCTGTCAACACCAGTCTTGGGAAGATGAGAAGATAAACTCCAGTGATGAAACAATATCAGAGATTTATTTAAAATCATCGAGGGAGGCACAGAAACGGCTTGAAAATGATTCAGCACAAATAACTGAGTTCAAAGAAAAAACACCTAGCTTCCTTTCTCTCCCACTCTTGTTTTCGTTTCTGCAACATTCGATTTCCYTTCAGCGAGCCTGCCCACTGTTGTTCTGTGTGTTGAGACTATGTCATGTGCTGTCTTTCAGTGACATGATCCTGACAAAACCACATCGCCCAGACACCGGTGAAGCTTGGGGCACGTTATCTCAAGATGATTTTCTCTTTTCAGCTTGTGATTGTAGTAAATTTAAATGGCATTAAAGAAATAACTGGAAGGCTGCTCCGGATGGACAGTGTTCCTTGGGCTGCTGCTTTTCTCCCTGCCATGGCTGTGGCCACCTGGGGACTCTGCAGCCACAGCCAGAAGCAGTTTTTGTGGCTCTCTGGTAGAGCAGCTCCCCAGGGACCTGTGCTTCCCACAGATACACTTCTTTATTTAAGGGAATCGAAACAAGAAAACGTCAGAGCTCGCTGGTGGCTTTTGAAACCACAATGAACTGTGTTTCACTCAGCCCCTGTTGCACAATGCTGTAATTAGCAGCGGCCCCCCCTCCGTGTGCTGCTCCCCCCAAAATGGGCTGTGATTTACACATCGGTGACTCCCTCGCACACCAGTAAAACCCTGCGAGGATGTGGGCCAGATTTGGATCTGGAGTCAGCTCCCCTCTAAACAACAGGGAGTCACCCTGCACTGAACCACAGCACTCAGATACAAAAGCTGTGACTGCAGCAAGGGGGACACAGMACTTCAGGAGGTCTGGCTCACAGGTTGGTTTGTTAACCCATTTTGCACCCTAAAGTGTCCCCTTCACCCAGTTTTTATTACCTTTAACACTATTTTAAAATAAAACAAAGAAAATAAATGGATGTCTGCAACTTGGCTATCCCACTGGTTTATGCTCAGCTGCCCTGACAGCAAAGAATCTCCTCTCCTACATGTGCCCAAAAGAAGGGCCCATCTCTTTCWGCGACTGTAGGATCATAGAGAGAAGCTGCCTTTAAAGCTTATCTGCCCTCAGGGTGAGGAAGTGTTGCTGAGCAGGACAGGATTGAGGTTAATTTGGTTTTGGCCTCACTGGAGGAAGAGTAATTYAAATAATTTGCCCAAGTATTTGATCTGTCTCCAGATTCATGAAGAAGAACAAGCCGCAGGTCATACCCAGCTCTGTCTAAACAAGCCAAATAAATGATCAGAGTCACACACATGTGCCAGCAGCACAAGGGATCTGTGTGAGCTGTGGGCATTTTTCCTGCACAGGGTATGGCTGAGAGCTGAGAGCAGGAGGGGCATGTGGGCGTCTCAGTGAGGACCCCAGCCCCCGTGCTGACATTCCAGAGAGGCTGCTGTGATTTCTGGAGCAGCTTCCAGGCTGGGGCTGTGAGAGGTAGCCCCGGGCACCCCATGCTGCAGATCACGACGCCTTGGCCACAAGGGACGGCACGTCATGCAGACATCCTCCTGACCTGTTTACCTGCCCTGCCACCACCTAAAACCCAGCAAACTCGTTTTGAGGAAACAGTTTCTTATGTAACAGGAATGACGTGGCCAAAGGCCAGCTCTGCCTGAGCAGGGCTGAGTTACTAACAGAGGTGCTCACACAGTTGAAGARACCCTAAACACAACAGGTCAAGGAAATAAGGCTGCATGCCATATAGGTTATATACCAGCTGAGAGACAAAGGAAATACATTCTCCAAAATATCAGAAAATCCTCTGTGGCCAGCCTAAGCTGCTCTGACAGCAGGCCACAACCTGGCAGGGTGCACTGTGTGGTGCCAACACACCCAGTTTACTGTTTTTGGGAACATCCTTGCAAAAGCCTCATCCAACTGTAACTTTCATTTAGACATCTCACCCTGAGAAATGTCCTATCCATGAGCTGCCCTTACACTTGCCAGCCCTGCAGCACCAAGGGGGCTGAGGTTTCCTACACAGGGAGAGAAACCAGCCCTGTTTCCAGTGTGCCATTATTCTGGGAAATTGTAGGGAAAATTGTGTCTGTGCTGAGCTGGTGAATGGTTCACCTTTTAACACAACTTCAAAGTCACCAGCATTTCTAGACACTTGACTTCAGAGGCTGCTACCCCATGGGWTGGAGCTTCTCAACATCCTGTTGTAGGTCTGTACTACACTGTGACATCTGAAGTTGTGTTTTGATGGGAGAGGTAGTAATTTACTGCCTTTCAGCCACAAGTCAGTTCTTTGTTATGCCTGAGTCATCCTTGCTTTTTTTTTTTACATCAAGCAGTTTTCATTTTCCCYTAAAAGCAGAAGTCCTTGCCATGTGCCACAACATGAAATAACTCTCTCAGAGATGGGAGGCAGATGAGTGATCCATGTATCACTGTCAGCTCTCCTAACATTGTGCAACAACCACAAAGACAGGAGGGCGTCTCGGTTCCAGCTTTTGTTTCTTGCAAAAAGCACCATCTATAATTACAGCAAGCACAGGTAATCATGCCCTGGCATGTGTCAGCCAGAGCTATGCCTTGCAGGCCCCTCACTGCCACAGGGAGGATCCAGCAGCAGGATGGTGACCCCAAGTTGCAACTGGTACATGAGCACAGGCTACTTTGTCTCCCCATGGTTGGTTTGAGGGCAAAGTCAGCAMCACCTTGAATAGAATGGAAGTTTAKWGAATTGGGGTTATTCAGCGTGGTGAAAGGGAGGCTCTGGTGATTCTTTATTGCAGCCTTCCAGTARYTGAAGGGGGCCTATAATAAAGGTTGGGACAGGCTTTTGAGAAGGGCCTTTTGCAATAGGACAAAGGGCAATGATTTTAAACTATAGGTGCATGGATTAGATTAGCTATAAGGAAGGAGTTTTCTACAAGTATAATGTAACATTGGTACAGGCTGCCCAGAGAGGTGGTGGATATTCCATCCCCTGGAAACACCCAAGGTCAGGCTGGATGGGGCTTCGAGCAACCCGAACTAGCTGAAGATCTTTCTGTCTTTGTGGCTACAGGCAGCAAAACACAGAAGTGCTGGTCTAGATGACCTTTAAGATATCCCTTCCATATCAAACTGTTCTATGCTTCTGAGTTAATAACACCCCCTATCCCCTTCTTCTGCTTGTCCAAGCACTCTCCATCCTTCTGYCTCTTCCTCATCACGATCRCAACCCTKYCCGCCCTCCTGGGCCACCACCACCAGAAGCAGAGCCCACCCTCCCATCTCTCTTTGCCTACAGCAAACCCACCTCGCCCCTCTGCCTCTTCTTACCTAGATGAGGCAAACCCCTGGCCCGCCACAAGCCCACCCCACGCCTCCGTCCCCTTTTCCCTAAGCACCCCCCAACCCTCCACCTGGTCCGCCCCTCGCACTGCCCATYCCCCGTCTGCTCCTGCCCCGCACACCGCATCCCTGCACCCTTTCCGGGCCGGCAGCGGACGCGCTGTCCCTGTCCGAYGCGGATCGCCCGACGCCGTCCGGACACGCCACCACCTGCCCGGCTGGCGAGGGGCGGGATCCCCGAGCCTTTTCGTTACGTCAGGACGGGGAATCCCCCGCCGGCCCSGGCACCGCGCTTTTAGCGCCGCGCTCCGCCCTCCGTGCCTGCAGAACGCTGCAGCCGCCGACCCGAGCGGAGCGTGTGTGCCCCGTGTCCCTCCGAGCCAGA